ACTTTCGAACAACTCAATCGAAAAGACTCACCTCCATTCCTGAAACCATTCGGGGAAAGGAGAGTCGAGACGGTGCCTTCTTCAACTGTCCTAGAATTTATATGATGAATACCCAAAGAGCAATGAAAAATTGTTTCATTTAAAGCTGAAGATCTACAGTAACAATGAGTGCTTTTTAAAGATTCAACGAAATTTTTATTGAGAAGAAATGTGCCAAAGGACAATCAAGGAGGACATTTCAGCTGACTCTTCAATTTTTTAGTGAGAAAAGCTTATTCTCTTTTGTTAGAATGGATTCTGGTCGAGAGAATTGAAAATGTCAAGCTTGGTTTTTTTTTTCAGAAATAGAAACTTTGGTCTCTAGGTAGAAACTTGCAAAATGCTGGTTTTTTCCATTTATGCTCATAAATTAGATATTACATCTAGTCGTTCGAGATAATGGGTACTTTATGCCGACAACTAAATGACTAGGTGCAAACGTGTTGATCGAGAAATTTGCTGAGAAATGTTACAGTAAAGTGTACGTTTGGAGACCAGCTTTGGAGCAATTTCACTTTCTGCATGAATTCTACTTCCTGCCTCCTAGAAATCATCCAGGAGGAAAATTAAGGAGAATATTTGAGTTGATTTATCCATGTTTTAGTGAGAAAAGCTGAATCTCTTTTGTTAGAATGGATTTTGGTCGAGAGAATGGAAAATTTCAAGCATAGCTTAGCTTTTTTGCATAGCTTTTTGCATAACACAGCTTTTTTCCTTGACTTTCAATTTTCCTCATTTTATATTAAACCTTTATTGCCTAAAGATATTTGAAGTGCAATGTTTTTTGGGAAAGTTTACTATGGTACACAAAAAGATGAATGGAAATGCTGAATGAAGTTCGGAATTTTGCTTCAGAAATAGAAACTTTGGTCTCATCAGTTTCACTTTCTGTGAAACACTTTCAGCAATTCAGCAACGGCTTTTTATGGGAATACCACTTTTCAAGAATTCAATAGTTCTGAGACCCGATTTGCAGCAATCTCACTTTCTGCATGAATTGTACCTTCTACTTCCTTTTTTTAGAAATCACCAATAAAATAGGTCAATCATTTCAGTTTGTTCAAGAAACTAATAGTAAAATATGAAGCAAAAACAACTCAATTTTATATCCGACTTTCAAAGTAACTTGAAGCTTATGCAATTCTTTTTATGGGAATACCACTCTTCAAGAATTCAAAAACACGAAGAAATCTCGAGAAATTCATTTAACCATTGTCTATTTACAATTAATAGTAAATTTCTGATTTCCTGTTACCGTCACCTAGAAAAAAAAAGCAATTCAATAAAGCCAAGAGAAAACAGCACTTTATCCATTGAACAAAAGACGAAGACAAGAGACAAACGACAAAATATCAGCTAGAAGATTGTTTAACTGTAAGTCAAACAATTGACAAAAGCTGGAAAAAAAATCGTATAATTTCATGAAACATCAATTGTTTCAGGGCGATTGCACCACACTTGGTGGCCCCAAAAGGAGAATTTTGTGATGGTGGCTGTAGGATCAAGTGGGTTGGTGAATGGTGCTCTTACAGCTGTAAACCACTTCCACTCACCACCACTTCCACCTCATCAAATTATACGATTTTTTTTCCAGCTTTTGTCAATTGTTTGACTTACAGTTAAACAATCTTCTAGCTGAAATTTTGTCGTTTGTCTCTTGTCTTTGTGACTTGTGACTTGAAACTAAATGACTAGGTGCAAACGTGTTGATCGAGAAATTTTCTCAAAAACATTACGGTAAAGTGTAGGTTTGGAGGCCGGATTTCCAGCAATTTCGCTTTCTGTCAAACAGTTTCAGCAATTCTTTTTATAGGAATAGCACTCTTTTCAAGAATTCACAAACACGGAGAAATCTCGAGAAATTCAGTAAAACATTGTGTTATTGACAGTCAATAGTAAATGTCTGATTTCTTGTGATTGAAAAAAACCTTGAACCTTAAAAAACTTACCGCAACCTTGAAAAAAGTAGTTCAATAAAACCAATCGAAAACATCACTTTATCCATTGAACAAACGACATCAAACTTACTCTGAAAAGTTCATGGATCATTTCACTAACTCAAAAGTTTGCCCGCATCTAATTTTCATCAGTCAATTCATACCAAAAATCCGCAGCTACAATGAAAAATGATTTTGACTGTTGTTTGATCCGTAGCCCAATATAGAACACCTTGAATAGATCATTTTGAATTGACTGGCCCTGTTGATCCGAGGAACGAAAGATCAATTGGATTCGATCAGGTTCATTTTGTGTGTTCCCTTTCAGAAGTCACAAATCATCGAACGATTTGGGGACAAATTTAGAATTGAATAAAAAACGAAATATCAACTGGGATTAAAGAGAAAGATCATCGGAATCTGGTACAAAAATTGGTATAAAAAGACATGGGAAAGCAAGGGAAATCATTCGATCCGTCGATTCTCATTCGTTCTCTCAAACATGAGTGTTCTTTCAATTCTTGCGATTCTTGTAGCTGGTAACCCAAGTAAACCAAAACATCGTGTCAATTATTACTTTTAGCCACCGCAGCCACAAATATTTCTGGATACGGCCCTCCAGTCATCGGAGTAGCTGCAGGAACTGGAGCAACGGCTGTTCCCTATACGGCTGCTGTCGCCAACTACATTCTTGCGGTGAGTGATTTGAATGGGTGAAGCAGATACAAAATGACATTCGTAGTATCTTGGATGAAACCCTTTTTAGCAAGTCAATCAACTCCGTTCGAATGTCGCTTGGGGTCGTCAGTCTTGGCACAACTCGTCGAATCCGGTGATTTCTTCCCTCGATATCTTTTTGATCTGAATGCTTTAGTCAAACTCTTTCTGGCCACCAGCAAAGAAACTCTATTCATTGGTGAGTGATTGTTATGAAAAAGAGTTAAGAGATGTTTTCAGAAATGGAATGCCACACTTGCAACAACAGCTGCACAATGGATGGATGCTCGTGGAGATACATTTGGAGCTGGAGAAATCAACGTTGGATTCTGGGCGGGTACAGCCGGAGTCAACACAATTACCGGGCAACAAATGTGTAGGTTTTTGATTTATATGCACTGACTAGGGGAGGAAGACTGGTTTTCGATACTTGACGCGTTACAGTTGAGGAGGGATGGAACAATTGGTGGTATGGATATTTGACCTCAACTGGAGTTCCAACCTTCAATTATCAATACAAATTGTCGCCAACGATCACAAGAGATCAGCATTATCAAAATCAAGTTTGGATGGTAAAAAGAGTAACTCACTTTTTGTATTTAAAAGAATTGTTTAGTTTGTTGGTGAGAATGCTTTGTCAATCGGTTGTGCTTACAAAAATTACACAAGCACTTATCGTATCACTTGTCTTCTTCAAACAAACGGGTAAGGAGGCTGTGACAAATGAGTGAATCGAATAGTGATTTCAAACTCAAGTATTTATTGTTTTCAGTGGAATGACCAACAATTCCCCTCCATACAATTCTGCGGCCACTCCATGTGAGATTTGCTCTCTTTGTCCACCAACAACTGCTCCATGCGGCCCAGCAAGGGGACTCTGTATTGCAAAGGCTGCCGGATAATAAACTCTTTGAAGATGGATTCCAGAATTAGTTTTTACAATAAAGCGTTTAATGGGAATTTTTGTTTTTTGACTAGCTCAGTTGCACAACAATCTGAGTGAATAATGACGATACGCTAAAGTTTTGACAAATTCTGTGTTTGGAACAAAACAGAAACAGTATTTAACAGTGGTCTGATCGCTGCTTTTTATTTACCGAAAAGCCCCTTTCGAGCACTGTTACAATCACCGATACGAACACATGTCTGCTGGGCACTTTTCCCTAAAAACCCTTCATCATAATCTCTGTTGAAATGCTTGAATTTCTTTCCCTTTTCTATCAATAGCATACCTTGCTTTAGATCAGTGTAGATAATGTCAATGTGTTGCTTGGCTCCATCGGTACAATATAAAAGGACATTGGGAAGCAAGGGAAAATGATTCGATTCGTCGATTCTCATTCGTTCTCTCAAACATACATTCTTGCGGTGAGTGATTTGGATGATTGAAACTGTACAGATCTTTTCTTAGTATAGCATTATTCTTGGTAGATCAAGCGGTAAGTCCTTTGATAATTCAATCAGACCTTTTTTCAAAGTAAACACGGTTTAGGCATGTAAGGATTAGCAGCTCAAAATGTATTCTAGTATATTTTATTGCTGTTTGGATTTAACAAACGCTCAAATACTGACTGATGGGCCTCGATTTGCGCAAAGATTACGAGAAAGCTAACAAGCCGCTGGAGTAGGGGAAAATAGAGATAAAAATAAAGGTCGGGAAACGAAAAGCCTCCTCAATTCCTCAATGGTCGTAAAACGAGCCAAGTCTTTTTTTGAGTCACAAAGAATGGATTACCTCCATGCAACTGTTCAAAATTTGTTCTGTGAAAAAAGCAAGAAAGACGTTATCACTTCTAGGAGTTAATGCGATCAGAAGCTGAAAAAAGGTGGACTCTTTTTATGGTCGATTTACCGATAGTTTTACGAGCAGTTTTTTGTGGTGAAGCACAGAGAAATGAATAAGAATGGACTGGTACACTTATTTGTGAAGAGCTAGTGAGAAATTTGAGAGTTTCCTTTTACGTAAACCAAGTCTGTTATTTGGAAAATGGCCTGGTTTCCCATAGACGATTGAAAACTTTAAAGAACACATATCGTATCATTTTACCTTTAGCTCGCAAATCGGGGTTTCGTGTAAAATGCTTGTGGTGGTTTTGGCGTCTTGGCTGTGATGATGTACAATGTGTCCTACAATGTGTCTTGGAAAATAAAGTTGAATACATATTTTTTGTTTTAAAACCGTTTCCATAAAGCAGATGCTTCCAAATTTGTGCGTAATTTAAAAACGCTTGCATGCTTATAAAATTTATTTGATTTAAAAAGGTTCATCATTTATCATTTTGCACACATTCATCGTGATCTTCCTTAAGAGTGATCGTGATCCTGAAACGTTGTCGTACTCAAAGCACATGATTGAAATGAAAAAAAAATGGCCATTTCAGTAGCTAGCTAATGAAATTTGTTTATTTAGTGTTCTGTTAGAGAACTAGACACTTGCACAGCTCATTTCAGTTCATGAACATTCCAACTCACCGAATGATCCTCAGTTACCTCGTTGGCGGCCCGCCATCTGAAATATTTCAAAGATTTTTTGTCCAGAATTCCCTAAACTTCTACTACTATACAATATTGTTCAACTATTATATTAATGCAGTATATATGCTTGACTATGCATGTGTAAATCTTTATCCTTTGAATCCAATCGTTCATCACTCACTCCCTGTCTTTCTCAACATCATACTGTGGATCAAATGGGTTGTATCGTGGATCGTAGAGTGAAGAGCGTGGATCAAAACTGAAACATCAAACAATAAATCAAAAAAAGCCAACTATTATACATTGGATCGTAGTTACGGTTAACTGGATTTGATCTTGGATCTTGTAGGCGTTTGTCCGATGCTTCCACTCTGTCATTATCGTTAGTATTGTTTGAAGAACGGTGATACGGATAACAGCTCTAAATAGGGGTTCGCAAATTTTGATGTGGATTAAGTGACCACAAATTCTCGGCCATCCTTGGTGACCACTCGGTGACAGCCTTTTTGGAAGTGGTGAAAATTGAGGTTGAGATGGAGGTGGACGAGCTCGGAAGTCTAAACTTTTGTCAGCTTTCTATTGCATTTAATTGTGTTATTTGAAATCTTTAATTTATTAAGCCAATTTGTTTCTATTTTCACTCACTGATGCACTGTCCCGAAGCCTGATCACATGTTTCGCAGTCGGCAGGGCATCGCACCGAGCAGTCTCTACCGTACCATCCATATTTACAACCTAAAGCATCTAAGAAGCTAGGAATCTTGATTGACATTATAAAAATGAACAGAACTTAGGATGAAATTGCCGATAAACCCACGCAAACAATAGCCAGTTGATTGATCACACGCGTCACAATTTTCTGGACATCTCGTCGAGCAGTCTCTGCCATGATATCCAAAGCGACAGCCTAAATCGAGTCATTCTATAGAAAATCGGTTACAAAAAGATAGCAATGTGTAAATTGTACATATATTTTGACGACGAGTCACCAAAAAGCTGCCGCAGTCTAATAAGACACCAGAAATACCGTACCCTAAACAATGTCGCACTCGCACCCGTATAAAAGAACACCTTCTTCCTCATTTAGTCAGAATTTTCTCTTATTTGGTCTTGTGAAAGTTGTTTTCTTTTGTTCGTACTTTCACAATTTTCATCAAAGTGATTCCTTTCTGTTTCTGGGTCAACACATTGTTTCTTGGAGCTTCGTTGAAACATTTTCACACGCTTTGACCCACGTGCATTGAATAAACTTGGCTTTGCTATTCATTCAAGCGCACAGGTCTAGCCACGTCAAGGAAATGCACAAATTCGTAATACAGAGCAAATTAGTTTTGAGACATATCAAAGTGACTCACTCAAACAGTGACCAGTATTTTGATCACAGCTCTCACATCCTGCATAACATCTTAGCGAGCAACCACTTCCGTACCACCCTTGTTTACACCCTGAAATCATCATATTGATCTACAATTCCAGAAATCGAGAGCTTGGAATCTAATGATGCTAACTAACTTGAACAGTATCCCGAAGTGTAATCACATCTCTCCGGAAATTCACATCCTTCAGAGCATCTTTCCGAACATTCCCTACCGTACCAGCCGGGAGCGCAAACTGAATTGAGAATTGACTTATGAATTCCTTTTCTTTCTTCCTTTCTCTTCCCCTTGTATTTCCTCTTTCTTTGGAAAGAAGATACCGACTAGCTTTGTGGTTAGTGCCTCTGCCCGGAAAGCAAAAATGTCGAGGGTTCAATCCCCTCTCTAGAAATCTCCCTTTGCCATTCCTTTACTTTATTATGGTGAGCAATTCATCTACTACTCACTAGCTGATCTAGTCTCAACAGCTCGTGGTCGGTGAAGCGGCAAAGGGTGTCCATGTCGTCCGTGAGCTTTATGATCTGTGTGTGGATCGTGGTAGTGACCCTGTGAATAGAATATTTTAAAATGTTTTCAATGATCCAAGTCACTTCATAAAGTCCGGTTCGAATCGGTCCAACTTCGGGAGTGAGCTTGACAAGAAGGTAAACCCTTGAGGGAAACTCGTGTACACCGATCTGAACGGGATGTAAGATGACAAAGATAAAGAATATAAAGCAGATTAAGTGTAAATAAAAAAGATATAAACAAAATGATACTTTTATAATCGAATCCTCGAACACTGCTGGTCGAACGGCTTTGAATCGCCGGTCCAACAGCATCGCATCACCGTAAATGATCTGGAAGCTCATCGACATTTTGCATCGACAATTGTAAGTGAAACAAGAGAGGTTTAAGTTGTGCTGATAATGTAGTTTTGTTCAAAAGAAAGACCAATTTTAATAGTTATCCTGATGTAGCTTTTCTTCAGAAGAAACATCATGCTTTTATTTATTGACTCACCTGTTCCCCATGTCTAGTGCTGGCGATTCGATGAAGAACGAATCCGACTGTCTCATCCCGATTCGTCACATGCCCGGCCAACACCCATTGAAAGCTAAATAATAAAGTACTAAAATTATGCTTTTTGCTATAAAACCAGCTATAAAAAATAGGTTATAGCCAAAGTGACCAACACTTTAGCATCAGCTTGATCAGTTCGATGACGGGAGAGAATTCGAAAGCCAGCGCACACCTCAACAACTTCTTCCTCCTTGCCAACAAAATAGCCGCAGATCTGAAAGTGAATTCTTGATTTTAATTGTAGCAAGGATTTTCGATTGATTTAGATTTACCTAGTACTTGCATTTGTCATCAACCTGCGAAAACCCTACTCACCCGTCCATCATCTCTTTTGATTGCATGGCCGAACGCTTCGTAGTGGATCTCCGGGTACTTTGTTCGGGTTATCCTGTAAATGTGATTAGTTTAACGATAGAAAATAAACTTCTCATGAAAGGGAGATACTTGAAAAGATGTTCAAGGATTAGTGATTCCTAAAAACTCGCCAATAAGCCACCCATCCGTTTGGCGTTGTGCCTCCATCTGGTCCGGGGATCTGAAAAGAAGTTTTTTAACTGAATTTTTATCAATGATCCGAGTTATCAATGATTTTGATCGATGATCCGATTCAAGCAATGCATATCTTCGATTAGAAACCTCCAAAAAGTCGTCAACCGATCGGCCATCAGTAATGGCACCATTCCAGTCGATGATCGTCCAGTACTCTTCTCCGATCTAAAGCTAATCATACTACTGTTATAGATAATCCAAATTCGAGACGATGTTAACCTTAAAAGTATAATAGCCATAGCTTGGCATCATGATTTACAATTTTGTACACATTTAGAATTGTCCAAATTTGTTTCTCACTCCTCATCCTCGGTCTTTTGATAATTCAATCAGACGAGTTTTAAGATAAAACATTGTTTACGTATGTAAGGATTGGCAGCACACAATGTATTCTGGTATATTTTATTAAAGCTGTATGGACTCCTAAGCTTAAGCCTTAACAAACGCTCAAATACTGACTGAACGCCTACCCAATGCGCCTCGATTCGCCCAAAGATTATGAGAAAGCTAAGAAGCCCAAGTTTGAAAAGAAACATTTCTCTAAAGCTATAAAATCATTAAAAATTAGAAAAGGGCAATGAATGAAGAATGAAGAAGACTTCATTTCTTCTTCTCTTTGACGGCGCTTAAGTACGGAAACAGGGAGATAAGAGTAAAGGTCGCGAAACGAAATATTTCCTCAATTTCGGGAATGGTCGTAAAACGAGCCAAGTCTTTTTTGAGTCACAAAGAATGGATTACCTCCATGCAAACTGTTCAAAGTTTGTTCTACAAAAAAAGCAAGAAAGACGCTCTCACTTTTAGGAGTTAATCCGATCAGAAATTTTAATGCGCCACAAAAAGCTTTGAAACTGAAAAAAGGTGGACTCTTTTTAGGGCCGATTCGTTGATAGTTTTACAAGCAGTTTTTTCGTACTGAAGAACAGAGAAATGAATAAGAATGGACTGGTGCACTTATTTGTGAAGAGCTAGTGAGAAATTTGACAGTTTGCTTGAGAGAAGATCGAGCTGGTTTTCTTATTCTCACAGATCCTTCTTGAGTCTATAGATACGATTGTACTGATACATTGAAGTTTAGGGTCTGTTGAAACGATCAACGATATGTTGATCCAGAGCTCAGTCACACTCCTTCGCCTTGAGCCCTCGTCACCTTATAAAGGTCGAAACCATATTAAGTCCTGAAAATTTGATGATGAAAAACCAATGTTCACGTCACGTTATTCGATACGCATAAAATAGACAACCCTGAAGATTCCACCGATCCAATAATTGCTGAATCGGGGCTTTCCTTTCGAAAGATCCCAAACATTTTGCGAGAAGATCTAGCTGTTTTTCTTGTTCCCACAGATCATCATCGAAACTATCGCGAACACGAGAGAATCGTCCGCATTGATTCGATCGAATTGAAAGGATATGGTATTGAAGCAAGTGTTTTGAGTGAAAAACTAAGCAAAATGGAGAAATCAGAGTATTGTACGCTTACGGTAAGCGACTACTTATGGCCGATTCCCGCCGATTTCTTTGATCGCCCAGAAGCAGGCTTGGATACAAGATCTTAACTTTACAATTAAATTCTAGAATTCAATTAAACAAACCTAATAGTAGATCTTTACTGGTGTTCAATTGTTTCTCAAAAATAACCAAAACTTTAACAGGGTCTATGAAAATAAAAATACAATAAGAAAAATAGCGAGAAAATACAATAAATCTTTGGTTCCGTATTTCAAAAGCCAAAAGAAAAAAATACAAAGTGGGCTCCGTCTCTCTTTATCACACAAACGATCCTTAGAGGGAAGGACAAGAGAATCAGAAATATTCAAAGTAAAAGCATCAAATAAAACTTCACAGGAAAGAGAACTTCACTTTTCTGCACAATTGTGTTTGAAAATTTGTTGATAATTTTAAAGAACAAGCCCTTTTAATAGATTTTAATTGGTTTTTCTTGAATCAATAGCTTAGGGATAAAATTTCCAGAACTACAATTAGCCTTGAAATTGTTAATTGAGAATGGAAGTTGTACCCCGAAAGTTGCATGGTCCAAGAATAGGAAATAATCAGTGGGAAACGTCTATCTGATGAAATTCAGGAATTAGCAGAGACAAATTGAATTTGGCAGATGAGATGCCGATCAGCACGTGGTGTCATTTGTATCGGCCAAAGATTTGTATCACTGACCCTGACAAGTTCTCGTCAAAACATGCTGAATAAACATTTCGCGCAAAAACAGCTCTTTGAAATGTGATTTGTTTGTCTGATTTTTCAGAAGGTCGATGGTTCGATTCCAGCCTGAGACACACCTTTTTTCACTAATTCTTGTCTTCCTGCTCTCAAATTAACCCCTAACTCTTCAGAATCGGTGGTATTTTAAAATTGAACATTTTTGGAAACAAAAAAGTACAAAAGAAAAGTCAAACCAGAAAGCATCTTGAACACAAAGGAGCCTATTAGGAAAAATCTGTGAAGTTAAGAGGTCGATGTTGTTTTCGGGGTTTTGATTGAATCTTCGAGATACGATGAATGAATGACTCGGTTGCCAAAGTAGAATTGGCGAATACTGTGATTGAGGGCCAAGTAGATGAGTGCAGAGATGCCTGGAACATTTGCATTTGAACAAACTTGTTTGGACATGTTCTATCTTAAATACAAAATACCGGAGTAAAAGCCTTGCGAACTTGACTTGAGAAGCCTAAAGCAGACAACAATCGTACCACTTCGGTACGTCGGACCTTGGGAATTTCGACAAGATTGCTCTCAAAAATCCCAAACAAGTCTATCAATGATTCTCTCCCCTATTTGCTTACCAGCTGTTGTCTGCCAAGCAAAATGAGCAGTGATGGCCATCTCCAGGGCAGCGATTTGAAAGAACTGAACGTACACGTAAATCCATGAGGCCATCATTGCGGGTATAGTGATCAACACGGCTTGGACCAAGGCCTGAGAAATGGATAAGAGCTTTGGACTTTCCACCTACATTCATTTCTCCTTTTGAAATCCTGTTCGTATCCCTCTTTCGAGCAAGCAGCAAGAAGATCAACACGTATAAACCGGACATGATCAGGCCAATAGCCACATTGTGACAGACATGGTAGATATTCGCGTACATCGGCACTTCCTAAAACCGTTGTAACGTTAGGTAAAGTTAAATTGCATTCATAATCATTATAATGTTCTTACTTTTGCAGTATCTTCAATAACGGGAATATAAAGAGCGCCGAAAGCTTTGCTGTTAAAAGGAACCGATCTTCGACCGGTCCAAAGGCCATACACTATCCCAATCGAGAGCCAAAGAGAGAATGGAACCTTCTAAATATTCATTTTCAAGCAAAGTCTAAGTACATTAGGCTACATTACTTCAATTTAAGATCAAATCCTAGCTTTTCGGAAAACTGAGACTTTCGCCCACCATGAACGCTTGATGAAGCGATTTGTTGTCGAGAACAATTATGAAACGATTTAATGCGAGTAGAACATAGAGATAGGTGGCAATTGACCAGATTACTGAAGATTCGAAAATGAAAAAAGTGAAAAAAGCTTTGAACTCACTGAAACTGTATGCACCAACGATGAAAGAGAAAGCCGCATTCATGCAGAACACGCCACCAATCGAGCGAGAAAATGTAGCCAGCCATAAATGAGTTTACGAAGAGATTGCCTATATCGGCAAGAATCAAGGCGAACATGATCTAGAAAATGAGCATTTACTGGAATACCGACAATTTGTCTCACTATACCTTGTAGCAATCGTTTCGGTATAGACGGAGCTTGATCATGGCGTAAATGGTGGGCAGATAGAGAACCTAAAGATACTTTTCATAATAAGAAGAGCTGGCCAACGATATAAAGTGTGCCCAGAATAATCAAAAGAAGTCCCAAAATTGGCCATCGCTCTCCGGTTGCCATCCATTGATCGTGTGTTTTCCCGGAGCAGTTGTAGTAGTTAGCGGGGTAGCCGAGAACTCGGCGAATTGTCTAAAACGCTGAGTTTCTCTTGTGCTTTAAATGTTAGACCTTCTCAGGCACACAAGTCTCTTTAAAGCGGGTTGTACAGCTGTCAGATCTATGAAGTTTCTGCATGGATCTGTTAGTAAATCTATTATCAGAGCCAGCACCCTGATTACTTATTCTTGCGCCATAAGCAAACTCATATTGCGAACTTGTAAGCTACTTCTTGTACTATCCTGTTATCGATTATAATTTCAGAACAAAGGTAACAAGTAAGCATAAAGTAGATAAAACAATATCTACTATATATGAAAGAGACATCTGTCTGGTGTGCAGCCATTGGCAAGAAGGGACCGAGCTTGGATGGCGTGGAAAATGCGAACTTTAGTGAGCGTTTCCGCTGGTTTTAGGTTTAACCTCGGCTAAGGTACGTGAAGGTTTAACCGGATAGTAACCTACTTTTGAACAACTCAATCGAAACCAAGACCCACCTCCATTCCTGAAACCATTCGGGGAAAGGGTGATTCGAGACGGTGCCTTATTCAACTGTCCTAGAATTTATATGATTACCCAAAGAGCAATGAAAAATTGTTTCATTTAAAGCTGAAGATCTACAGTAACAATGAGTGCTTTTTAAAGATTCAACGAAATTTTTTCAGCTGACTCTTCAATTTTTTTAGTGAGAAAAACTGATTCTTTTTTGTTATAATGGATTCTGGTCGAGAGAATTGAGAATTTCAAGCATAGCTTTTTTTGCATAGCATTTTGCATAACATTTTTTCCTTGACTTTCAATTTTACTCATTTTATATTAAATCTTTATTGCCTAAAGAGATTTGAAAAGCAAAGTTTTTTGGAAAAGTTTACTATGGAACACAAAAAGATGATTAGCTTAATGAAGTTCAGAATTTTGCTTCAGAAAAAGAAACTTTGGTCTCATCACTTTCTGTGAAACACTTTCAGCAATTCTTTTTATGGGAATACCACTTTTCAAGAATTGAATGGTTCGGAGACCCGATTTGCGGCAATCTCACTTCCTGCAGGAATTGTACCTCCTACTTCCTTTTTTTAGAAATCATCAAAGAACATAGATCAATCATTTCAGTTTGTTCAAGAAATTAATAGTAAAACATGAAGCAAAAACAGCTCAATTTTACATCCGACTTTCAAAGTAACTTGAAGCTTATGCAAGCTTATGTAAGCTTATGCAATTCTTTTTATAGGAATACCACTCTTCAAGAATTCAAAAACACGGAGAAATCTCATTAAACGATCGTGTTATTTACAATCAATAGTAAATGTCTGATT